ACTGAGTTATTGCGCCGGTGCGTTGATTTGGCGCAGCCAGCCAACTCCTAAAAATTCACTGAGTTACCCAGGCCTAATCCAGGGAGATTATTAATTCCAGCCCCAAAATTCCCTATCAAGTTGGATGCATTTAAATCCAGATTTGCTCTTGAGTAACAGTTTTTTCGCAAAGTAGCATTGGGTATGTTTTGAAAACCATCCACAAAACGGCAGAACCTTAGAACTACATCCCGTTTACAAAACCCACTGAAGCACAATCAGTTAAGCGAATAAAACCGTCTAAACGAAAAAGGCATTTACTTCTCTATGCAGAAAGTACTTTCAGCTAGAGTAATGACGGAAGGAATAGAAACAGAAAATGAAAGCAGATGAAAGTAGGGCTTACAAGCCAAAACATGTTAAATGTTCTTTCCAATATTAACTCCACCATGCTGTACCACACTTGACAATGTCTGGTAATTCCTGTCAATCGAAACGTTGTGATTATTACGCATTTATTTTCTTGGGACAATTACCATTCGAATCCCATACGCAAACACCGACCACACCAGCAAATTTCACTCACGCTAGACCCAATATGTGTTGAAGAAAAGCCGTACCTTTAGAAGAAATTTTGATTAATTTTTAGTGTTTAATTTAAGCGTTAATTCTATGAAAAACTTTTCAACAGTCTTTTTCGATGTGAGACTGTTTTCTACAACGGTTCGTGAGCGATTTTAAAACCTTTTCAGATAATTTTCAGAAAGTTATTGAGAATTTCTTCAGACTCTTTCCACCGTCTGAATAATTTTCATGTAGATGAAACCACTTTCTTCGGACGTTCATTGATTTAAAACAAAGCGTTTCATAATGAAGCGCAATTAATTTAAGAAAGCGTTGATTCCAAGGAAAACAATTCCACATTATTTTTTAAGTTGATACTGTTATTAAGACACTTTCCTGAACGTTTCTAAAGCTTTCGAGGAATTTCCAATTTGACCCTGTTATGTAGAAAGTTTCTAGAATTTTTCGAGTGAATTTCTAGAACATTATCCATAATCTCTGCAGATTGTTTAAACTGTCTTTCGCAACCACTAACTGCGCATTCGTATCAAAAAAACACTCCGGCAGTCTTTTGCAATTTGACACTTCTTTCTAGAACTTTTCGAGTTATTTTCTAGAACATTATCCATAACCTCTTCACATTATTTCCACTGCCTTTGTAGAATTTCTATAAATTAGGCATTTTGTTGGAGCTTTCTTCGATTTAATCTATTGGATTTTATCAATCATTTAACAAAGCTTTAATTCCACGGAAAACTGTCCAAAAGTCTTTTTAAGTTGATACTGTTTTCTAAAAGTTGCTGGATATTTCAATTCCAAAGAAAACGTTCCCAGTCTTTTTCAATTCGAACCTGTTGTCTAGAAAGTTTCCAGAACGTTTTGCGACCGTTTCTGAAACTTCTTGAGATGTTTTCTAGAAGGTAATCGAGAGAGAGAATCGATCACATTTTTGGAATGTATTGGTAAAATTTCCATAAATTGGACGATTGCAAATAGAGTGCTTTATCTTCAAGCGTGAATAATTTACGAAAGCGTTAATTTTATTCATTTTGGGACTGTTTTATAGAAAGTTTCTAGAACTTTTTGTTTGTGTTTCTAGAACTTTATCGATGATTTCTTTTTTAATGTATTGGAAGCTACTTGACTGCAGATGCAACTGCTCCTTTCGAACCTTCTTCGGCTTTATACAGGGCGTTTCATAGTGAAGCACAAATAAGTTAACAGCGACATTTCTGGAACACTTTCCAACAGGCTTTCTCGATTTGTAAAAGTTTCTACAAAATTAGTGTTTTCCAATGAAACGCAAATCATTTGAGAAAGCGTCATTTTAAAGAAAACTTTCAGCAGTGAACTTTCCGACTTGAAGCTATTATAGAAGTTTTCGAGAAACTCGAGAAACCAGAGCGAGTTTCTAGAGATTTATCGATAATTCCTTCAGGTTCTTTCAACCGTCTTTGTAAGTTCTCCATAAATTGGCCATCTAGATGCAACTTCCTTCGATCGTCCTTCGACTTTATGCAGTGTTTTATAATGAAGAGCAAAAAATCTAAAGCAGTGACAATTCTAAGGAAAGCTATCTAACAATTTTTTTCAATTGGAGACTGTAGTCTGAACAGTTTCTAGAACTTTTCCCGGGAGTTTCTAGAACTTTGCAAGTGACTCTACAGCGTTAACGCAAACCTCTTTAGGTACCTTCCACTGTCTTCCTGAAACGCCCTTCGGCTGTATACAGAGTGTGTGACAAACTCAGCAAAAGCTCAAATCAAGCACATTTATTAAAAACCACGCAGTCGATTCTAATTTTATGTCTGAATCAACAGAAAGATAAAGAACACAATTTTCACTTCTTACAATCAGATAACAATTGATTGTTAGTTTGATTTTCATGTTGAGTTTTATGTTGTTTTGGTAACGAACACAGCTTCTGGAGCATTTTTGGCCGGAAATTTTGGAACGCAGCTGCAATATACTTGAATACCGTAATAGCGGCCTTAAATTCAAAATTTCGATCTTAAAAGAACATAGAAAATTGCGCAGTTACTCATAATCGCTCCGATATGAAAAAAAGGAGGTCTGGGCGCAAGAGAGCAACCATCCAAACCCAAGAAAAATGTCGATTTTTCCAAAAAAATGTTCAATACTCAAGAACGCGATTAAAAATAAATAAAACTTTGTTAGAATCGAAAAAATGTATTTAATTTAATCACAGTCAGCTGAATTCAATGAATGATATTGAAATTTCGCTTTTTGGGTCAAAATTTCCTCACTCATGTTGTTATGACTGATTCGGATTTTCAATTCTCTATCTAACGATGCTAAAACGGATTCTGTGGCTCAATTGAGACTTGAGAAAATCCTACTCTAAATAGGACCAACCGAAAAAATCGTTTGCTCTGATAGGTAAATCAATGTGAAATTAAAGTGGCAAGAACTCAACTGAACAAAAATGGTAATAGACACCAAAGCAAATCCGCTTAAAAACACAAAACATTCAGATTTACTCAGGATGAAAAACAATCCTAAAAAAATTAAAATTCCTTTCTTGTGCCTAAATTGGAATAAATCAAGCCGTGTGAAAAATCAAAGCCAATTGAATTGTTATCAGATTCATGTACGACCAAATACGACTTAGCCATTCGAATTGCGTAAAAAGGCAGCAGGTTGTTGTAATTGCAAAACACAATTGTTCTTCCGGTGATTCAGGATGAATAAATTCGCTAATTATTGTGTCTTACATTAATATAGAAGCAAAAACGAGCGGAAACGCTTAGCAATGCCATCGAGGGAATTATTTCATAATCGGTGCGAAAGGCACAAAGAAACCAGCCATAATAGCAGAAAAAAACCACTGTAAATATTCAAGTTTCACTCCCGGCTGATTAATAAATTATCGGTAGTTAGTTTTATTAACTACTGCTTACAAAAGAAATCAATCAAGGCAACCAAGTGCAGCATGAAAAGCAATTTAAATTTTCAGTCATTTAAAAAAAATTAATCGCGTTATTAGATGATCTTCGGATTGGTTCAAATTTGATGCTAACAGTTCGACCAACAAAGCATTATTTAAAGCGAAAACAAGTCGAGACACATAAAAGTTTCCAGGAACGGTGACTAGCAAATCATAGTTCATCGACTAAAATATGATGGTCAAAAGGAACTGATTAAATCACATTTGACTTTGGAACTATGACCGAAGCTCCATCAGCAAATACCTACATCAAAATAAAAATCTGATATCAATGTCGCCTTCGCCAAAGTGTAAACTGTTCAAATTGAATCAAAGACACTTTGGCGAACTGAGCATAAATTAGAAAGGCACAACTGGAAAATGCCGGTCATTTGCCTGATTTGCTGAAGAATGAATTTCCCTGTAAATTATTTCAATATTGGTTAACGAAAATTAAAATACCATTAAAAGCTTTACACCCAAAAGTGCATGGAAAAGTTGTCGATTTCTCCACAGAACATTTAAGTGCTCGATAAATGGAAACATTTTAATTTAATATATTTTTTAATGGTTTAGGAGTTTAGCAATTCACATCAAAGCAAATATTGTCTAGTCTGCACTTTAGCTGAAAAGTCCGTGAGTTTGAACATTTTCTAACGTTTGAAGTCGAAATTATGCACGATTTAATTTGCACTTAAGCGGCACGACAATGCAAATAAAACATTCAAAGAAATACTCAACAAAACACATAAAAATTCGTTAATAAAATTACACAGAGAGACAAAGTGACTTTGCATTAAAAAAGTGAAACTGGAAAAACGGATGAAGTCTGAAAATATGTACCAGGCAACTGAGGCATTGTTTTCCTGAAAAGTACAGCAATAGAGCTTTAGCTCCACTTTTGGAGAAATTCACATCTTTATGCTATGAAAACTGGTTGGTATTTTTCTTCGAGACAAACGTGAAAGAGGGCACGCAGAACTTAACTAAATAAATAACCAAGTCTTGAGGTGCAACTAGGGATGGGGCATCGATCCTATAACATCGATGGTAGCCATCATGTTATAGGATCATGTTTTCATTTTTTTTCAGGATCACTTCATGATCTAACATCGATGTTTTATCGACGTCCCAAATTTCCAACATCGATGGTAAAAATACCGAACATCGAACGAATTACATCGATGTTTTTCTCCCATCCCTAGGTGCAACTAACTCAACATTTTCATGAAAAACAATTCGATTTCACTCTACAACCCAAAAAGAATCGTCAACATCGCTCGATAACGAATATCGAAAAACATATTTAATAATCTCTTTAAGAACGAAACGGTAATCTGTGATCCGAATTTGAAGACTAAAATATAAAGCAGTTAATGGCCCTTAAGGCTGTAAATAACTAGCTTCCTACTTGAAAAATCCTTGCAAAATCCGTTCCATTACAAGAAGGAAAACATTTAATACTCTTCAAAAATTGCTTTCACTAGTACGACTAGTAACCAACTCAACTAGAAGACATTCATTCATCAGAATTAACTGACATCGACACAAACCACCATAATAAATCTCTTTGGTGCCTCCATTGAAATTAAACAAGTTGCAAGAATATTCAATCGACTTGAGAGGCCGAACGTCCAAAAAACGCATTCTCGACATGCATACAAAGGTGGGCGTTTTTTAAATAAAAGCTACACTAAAAGCAAATTAAACCTACATCCAATTCTTCCTAAGCTGAATAATGCATTAGACGAATGTTCAAATCAACTTCAAATTAACTGACGTTTATTATTTCGAACGGAGCTGGACGAATTTTGTGCCCTCTTACCGGAAACCAAAGCAGAGTCTGGCTGCTTTCCTAAAGAAGCAGTAAGCAATTTTCACCTTCTCATCCACCAAAAAGTTGAGTTTCTTATACGCTCCACACTGTAATTGGTTCAGATCATTCGTTCAGTTCAGGCTTCAAAAACGTATTATTCAGCCGATTTGAGACGTTTTAGAGCATTTACAGCCCGTCATTTCCTTTCGTTAAGGAAATAAGGATGTTTTTAATAGACTGTTAATATATAAACTTAGTTAATCTCTGGTTCAGATTCCCTCATTTACTTTTATGGAGAAAAAACCCTCCAAATGCAACTAATGCACTAAATGTTCCGTTGAGCGGAAAGGCGATGAATAATCCTGGACCTGTTTATGCCTACACTTAGCACTTAACCCATGGAATGATACACGTCCTGATTGCATCACCCAACGCAATGAAAATCAATAAGTTAAAAGTGTGCTTCTGCTTGCAGCTCTAAGAAAATACACACTTCCACTGGGCCTAATGGATTTTCAAAGCGTGAGTCGATTTGCCAATTAATAACAAGCTAAACTGACCGATTAAAACGCTTCAATTGGAGGCTTAAACAAAGCACTTACCGTCGTGCTGGGTGATAAGCCAGTGTCGATTTGGCAGGCCGTTACAAATTCCTGTCCTTTGACCAAATTCACAAACGAACACCTGGGGAACCATCGGGCGTGTTCCGTCCAAGGATCGTCATCTGGATCCCAATTTCTGAGCCCACCGTCACAATGGAAACAGCGTACTTGATCGCCCAAACCTACAAGCCATATTTTCGTCCATGCAAAATCTAAATAAGCCGCGAAAGCCAAATCACTTGTGGAAGATTCTTGGGGCTTAATTTTTGGTTGGTATATTTCGACTAGTTTCTCAACTAGTTCCACTGTTGGTATAATTGATATAAAACGTACAAGTTTCCGTTAAAAATAACAAGTCTTGAGTGTTATTTTGTTGGTGAAACACAAATTGAATAAGCCAAAAGTTAAAAGGTTTGAGCGTTTTTTTTTGCTAAAAATCAGAGAAAAATTGAAGTGCTGCTTGTATACACAGAGTGTTCTTTCAATGTATCCACGACCTTTTAGGTGTGGGAAAGGACATGAAAATCAGCATTTCTTCCTCATACAAATCGCCCAGTTTTCGAGATACAGGGTGTCAAGAGTAGAAATTCCGTTTTACTTTCCTGTTGTGCAACTGCTGCAGTTTTCCAGTTATTTACCTGAAATTGGGTGCTTTGGTTTAACGCTCGCTCTGGGGTCTACATCGTTCAATGAGCCAAACGGTTGCAAGAATAAGCAGGGTGAATTTTATAAGGGAGCATTTCATCAGCTTTTACCACTCCAAGTTTTACACTTTTTCAAAATTCTTATTCAATTGAGAAACTTTCTTGCCTCGTGCATTTCTTTCATATTCGCCACGCTTCTCGACCTAAAAGTTAACTAAAATACGGGAGATTTTCAATAAATCTGGCATTAATTTCAAACAAATTTCTCTACAAGAGTTAAGAGATCCGAAAAACCATTTTGCTATTGTTAATTTCAGCACCCCGTCGTGGAAAATAAAAAAAATATCTGAATTGAAAAATTGAATGAGAGAGAACTTGGAAAATTACTCATTGTATATCCAGGGTAAACCTCAGGAAATAAACCCGAAAAATGCGCCCGAAAATCTTTCCCGTTTAGCCAGTGCATTCTACATCCGCAGCAGATAACTTTCCTTCAGAAGTTAAAGTATTTGATATGGAAAACCATCCACGACCATACTAAGTACTGAAAGGACATGCAGTTCTGCACTTATAGAGAAAATTTGAAAACAAACCCCCAGAATCTCCACCTGCAAATCACCTGGCTGAAAGGGTGATTCAAATCCAGGTTAAACTACTAAAAGCAGCAATTACCTTCATAATAAAATCCAGCCTGTGCTAGCACATCCGGAGTTTGTATCAAGTGGGGCGACCAAGACGCAAACGACCGGAGTCTGGACTCTATCGTGCCAAAGTCGGCCCGTTTGGGCCCATTATGCTTTTGCACTCCCAATTCATTTAAACTTCCTGTGACTGTGTCCCCTATCAGATTCACGTTTTTAAAGGTCGCCTCCTGTTCAGGCCTGTGTCCTGGAGTCCGGCTACTTTCCAGCCTTGGATTGATTATCGATGTAACAAAGGGGCACATTGGAAAGTGGCGTTTGTGTTCAACATCAGGAATATCGTTTGGTTCCCAGGCTCGAACCACTCCGTGACAAAATGCACATTTCGTGTTATCACTAGTTCTTAGAGAATAGAATCCGGCCCTTGCCAGATCCTCTGGGGTGACAATATCGGGCTTCGGCCAGTTGACAAAGGAAGACAGTCGAACTTCTTCATTTCTATAGTCTAGAGAGGAGGTCGATGGTACGGTTCGCAGTTGGTCCACTGCTGGAACATTTCCTGATGAGGTAGAGCTTAACACAAATGGACACTGCGGATTGAGGGCTCTGTGTCGAGCCATCACTTGGTCCCCATAATTCCATTCAGATAGATTCATTCCGCATGCGAAGCACTCGACTTGGTAATCGCGTTTTGTGTAGAAAAAGCCTGCTCTGGCTATGCGTTCGGAGCTCACTGGGGCATCTGCAGGCCAGTCGTTGAACGTTTCCAAGCGATTCTGTTCCAAATTCATCCTTGATTTTGTTCTCCACTTCGAACTAACTGGTCATAACTTCAAGTTTTGAGTATTGCACTGAATACTTAGTGTTAGTACATCCAGATATTTAGTGTTTTTTTTTAAATATAAGTTCTTTAAAATTGGGTATTGTCTAGTTTGAGTGACGTTTGTGGTTTGGTATCTGGAATCATTTGACGCACAGCTGATTTTGACGTGTAAACAGTCACTACCAGATAAACACTACACATCAGAGACAAGAAATAAGTTAAATAAGAGTTATCCCTTGTCGCTGCTACACATCACTTTCACTCACTAATAATTAATAAATTTAAGATTTAATATGCAAAGCAAATAAATAACAAATTCGACAAAAATGTTTGACAATAGCGCCAAAAAAATCGTGATAATGCCAAATAAAATAACTGGATATAGGATAGGATAAAGTTGCGTTTGCTATTTGATTAAAAATCGCATAAAAAGCATTTACTGATTTTCAATATTTAACCACATAAAAGTGCGGAATTTAAATCACAGATAACAGAGTCTATAATAGATTTTTTTAGGAAATTACTAGTTAATCGGGCTCCAAACCTTTCCATCTGTCTCTTTTTTATAAGTACGGTTAAAGCAGGATACGACAAAGTTTTCAAATTTAGTAGCCGCCAAGCCGCAAAATTACGAAATATCCGCAACATTTGCGCGTTTAATTATTAAAATCCACACCACTCAGCATTTACTTAAAAAAAAACCTGAATATTACTATTACTAGTTGCCAATACCGGCATCCTTGTCTGGTTAATATCAGCCGACAAGGACTACGAAGCAACAACAATTGACAAGCTTCATAACCTCGATTGTTTGTTATTGTTTTTTAAATATAATTTCTACAGGTTGTTTAATTACTTTATAGTTCATTTATCTATACCAGCGTGTTATTTACGCTATGTTTTCAATGTGTTTTTAATGTTGTCAACCGTCTGTGATAGTGCGATAAGTTTGTTTATTAGCATCGTAATCAGGGTAGATCAAAGTTCAGTTCTCATTCTTCAATTTAACATTTAGACTCAGCTATTGGGGTCAAAAAGTGACAAAATGTCCCTCTCCAAGTTGCTTAAGGTAAGCCCATGGATAAACACCAAGTTTTGTATTAGATTTAGGGCGGTTTTACTGTGGAGAGCAGCGCAGGGAAAGTGCCTGGAAGGCACTAAGCCTTCCTTCTATGACTAAGCCTTAGTGCGTATCTCAGAAACAATCCGTTTGTTTCATTTTAGGACACATTTATAAAATTTAGTTCGTCTTGCAAGCTGCTCTGTTTTATTTTTGTACCAGATGGTCTTTTTATACCGATAACTAGAAATTAACCTAAAGCCACAAACTAGATGAAACTTTGAGCATTGTGCAATTCGGGAAGTTCCAGTGCCACAAATAGTCACAAACCGGGTATAAAACAGTTAAGCCAAAAGTTGGATGTCCTGGGATAAAAATGCATTGAATCATAGACCAACCAATTCAGTTAATGATTAGAGTGGTGGTTTTGTCATAAGTTATCTGGGCTTCTGTACATAAATTGTGCCACATGGAATTAATGCAAATGGGGGTTGAACGATAAAAAAACTGGAATAGTTTTCCAGCGTAAATCGTTTGGGGAAAATAATCGGAATCTAAATAAGTCGACCCTGATCACTCTTAACAATAAAAAAGTTCCACCTACAGCGAAGAGTTTAATTCACAGCCGCAAAAACACATTTACTTCGAAGATAATCCAAAGTATATTCATAACAGCATACCCTTGTTTTGTATTGGAATTTTAAAGGTTCATTTGAATGCAGTCTACTGTAGAAAACCTCATGTGTGGTATGAGAGTTGCGTATTTTTGAGGAGCTGTTTTGACCGTCGAAGTTTAATCAGAAAATTTGTGTGAATTCAAACGAAATTGCCACTAATTTACTAACTTTTTGATCAAAGAGGCAATCGCTCTATTAAAGAGTTCAGTGGGTTCAGTTCTTTCTCAGTTCGGAATTATCGAACAAAACCAGTCTTGAGCGACGAATATTAATGGAAAATTCGTAAAAATTAGGGAAAAATTGCAATGAGTTTTCTCATTTTTTTACTAGTAGAACTTCAACCGTCCTATTGAATAGTTCAGAGAGTTTTTCTTCACAGTATTTGTGTTCCGAGTTCAGAATTTTTGAAGAAAAGCTGTCGTGAGCTCTCGTATTTATTTGCAAATTCGTAAAAATCTGGACAAAACCGCAATCACTTTAATAATGTTTTCCTTAGTAGAGCCTCAATCGCTCTATGGAAGAATTTAGAGGGTTTTTATCTAAAGTGTTTGATATTAGAGTTATGAATTTTTGAAAAAACCGCGTCTTGAGGGTTGAAGTTTAAGTGGAAGTTTTTTTTAACTTTGCTTGGTTTTAGACTTACGAATTTTTGAAAAAGTTATCCTGAACGTCGAGGTACAAATGGAACACTCCTGAAAGTTGGGACAAAATTGCGATTAGTTTGCTGATTTTTCCACTTTTTGTGTCCTCAATCACCCTATTGGAAGAGTTCTTCTAGTACAATACCCTCTATTGAAGAGTGCAGAGTGCTTTTTATTCAGAGTTTCGTGAGAGAGAGTGTTTGATCTCACAGTTATGAATTACTGAAGAAAACCCCTATTGAGCGTCGATTTTTTAATGGCAAATTCGTAAACATTTGTAAAAAACGCAACTGGTTCAAAGGATTTTCTTCGGATTGTTTGGTATCAGAGTTACAAATTTATTAAAAAAGCGTCGATGTTTAATTAGAAATTTCGTCAAAATTCGCGTAAAATTGCCACTAATTTTGCAAAGTTTTATATAAGAAAGCGTCAATGGCTCTGTGGAAGAGCTCAAACGGTTTTATTGAAAGTGTTTGATTTCAGAGTTATACATTTTTGAAAAAAAAACTGTTAAAAAAAAATCACAGCTAGTTTTCTATTTTCTTCCGCTATTAGAGCTTCAATCAGTTCATTGAAGAGTTCATAGAGTTTTTGGTTCGAGAGTTACAAATTATTGAAGAAAACTTGTCCTATGAGTCTCTGTTTAATTAGAAAATTCCGGAAGACCTTCAATCGCTTAACGTTTTGTTTTTCTCAATCGCTCTACTGAAGTGTTTTCCTTCAGGGTGTTTGGTTTCAGAGTTATGAATTGTTGAGGAAAATCTGTCCTCAATTGCAATGTTTAATAAGAAGTTCGAAATATGAGTGCAAAATCGAAACACATTTTCTAATTTTTCCGCCTCTAGAGCCTCAATCGGCCAAAATTGCCAGCATTGTACCCATTTTAGTCCAAAGTGTGTTCATAACAGAAAACCCTTGTTTCATATTGAAATTTTAAAGGTTCCTTTGAATGCAAACCTCATGTGGAGTTTCAGAGTTATACATTTTTGAGAAAGAAACTGTTTTGGCCGTCGATATTTGATAAGAAAATTCGTGGAAAATTGCCACTAATTTCCTAACTTTATGGGCAAAGACTTCCAATCGCTCTACTGAATAGTTCAGTGAGCTTTTCTAGAAATCTAGAGTTACGGATTCTCGAACAAAATCTGTCTTGAGCGTCGAATATTAGTGGAAAATTCGTAAAAATTCGGGAAAATTTGCAACGTAAATTTTCTACTGGTATGCCGTCAATCGTCCTATTGAACAGTTCAGAAGGTTTTTCTTCGAAGTATTTTGGTTTAGAGTTGAGAATTTTTGAAGAAAAGCTGTCTTGAGCTCCAAAATTTAATTTAAAATTCGTAGAAATCCGGACACAGCCGCAATCACTTTATTAATGTTTTCCTTAGTAGAGCGTCAATTTCTCTATGGAAGAATTTAGAGGGTTTGCATCTAAAGTGTTTGGTATGAGACTTGTGAATTTTGGAAAAAACCGTGACTTGAGCGTCGACGTTTAAGTGGAAAATTCGTAAAAGTTTGGGAAAAATCACAATTAATTTCATAATTCTAATAGTAATAGAGCCTCAATGGCTCTATTGAGGAATTTGCAAGATTTTGCTTCAAATTGTTTGGTCTTAGAGTGGCAATTTATTGAAGAAAACCTGTTTTGCCATGCGAAGTGCGTAAAAATTCCAGCAAAATTGCTTTTAGTCTCCCAAATTTTTGCTTAGAAAATGGTCAATTGCTCTATTGGCGAGTCTTGAGGGTTTTTCTTTATAGTTTTGGTTTCAGTTAGAAATATTTGAAGAAACCTGCCTTGAACCCGGAAGATGTGTGAGAGAGTGTTTGATCTCACAGTTATGGTCAAACGGTCTTTATTGAAAGTGTTTGGTTTCAGAGGTATACATTTTTGAAAAAAAAAACTGTTTTGAGCGCAGTCCAGGCAAAATCACAGCTAGTTTTCTGTTTTTTTCCGCTATTAGAGCTTCAATCGGTTCATTAAGGAGTTCATAGAGTTTTTGGTTTCAGAGTTACAAATTATTGAAGAAAACTTGTCCTGTGAGTCTCTATTTAATTATAAAATTCTGGAAAAATTGCCACTAATGTGTCAATTTTTTGCTCAATCGCTTAACGTTTTGTTATTCTCAATCGCTCTACTGAAGTGTTTTCCTTCAGGGTGTTTGGTTTCAGAGTTATGCATTTTTGAGGAAAATCTGTCCTAAATTTCAATGTTTAATGAGCAGTTCCAAAAATGCGTATAAAATGGTAACAAATTTTCTAATTTTCCCGCTTGTAGAGCTTCAATCGGCCAAGATTGCCAGCAATGTCCCAATTTTGGTCCTAAGTGTGTTCATAACCGAATACCCTTGTTTTAGATTGAAGTTTTAAAGGTTCATGTGAATGCAGTCCACTGTAGAAAGCTTCATTCGTTAACGTAAAATATGAACACGAATAGCAAGATACAAGCCCATTTCGTTCGACTCCGGTAACAAACTGAATTTTTAGTCAGCTTTTCATAGAAAAATACAGTCCGAACACACCGAGCTACATAACTAAAACGATTATATAATCGTCCCTTCGACGTGTGATTGATATATTTCGATGTTCGATTTCAGTTTTTTCATTGTTGGCAATGTTGTAGAAAATTTTAGTCTATACGGAAATATTTCCAGATTTCACCTTCTAACTTGTTTGGACGTTGTTTTGTTCACGGTGATCACGCGTAAACAAAACAAAGATAAACATTTCGGATCATGCGACGCATCAGACTTAAAAAAAACCCTTTATTCTATTGGAGGATTCTTTGATGGATCTTTTTACAGACAGATGTAAAATTAAGTCGCATTTAACTGCGAATTTGTGGTTTTACCACGTACAAGTTTCAAGGGCTTAAAAATTCCATTTTATAATTTTTTGATTTTTTTACATTGGAATATTGGAACATTATAAAACTTGATTGCCCCGATCTTAGCTTACAATGCATGAATCTTGCAATATTTTTACACAATTGCTACCTAGTCAAAACCACTGAGTCCCAAATATTATATCCAGCAAGCAAAACTTCATACAAAATTCGATTACCTACTATTCACTTTAATTCGTCCAATCTCTCTCTAAAAAAGTTTTCGGCTTTTAACATGTGGTTTTTACGTTGAAAGTGCGATCACTTTCAAGGAAATCGGCCATTTGCCAATACAACTTCCAATTTTATCTAGAGGAATCGAGGATAAATGAGCGCAGTAAAACGTGCACTGGGCTCGGTTTTTGAGAATAGACAAATGGCACTTTTTAATTTTCCTTTTGGCTATTTGTTTATGAAATACACGCTAAAAGTGAAACATTGTTGGTTGCTTTTTTTGAATTCTCTCTTAATTTTCGTCATTTCAATTTTCCCTAAATTTCGACTGTTTCTTCCCTAAAATTTCATCTTGACTTCAACATTGTTTTACGACTCTTTAATCGATTTGTATCATTTTGAATGTTTATTATTTATTTCTCTATAAGAGTTAACACGCTGACTGCTGTTTTAGAGTTTCACAAGTTTCGCTATTTTTCTGTATAGAACATGTTTATTTTAAAGTTTTATAAGTGGCATGACATTATTCAGCTTCGAACAGAGCAAAAAAGAAACGAAACTACAGGAAAAGTCTATAATGAATTTGGTGAGTTTTTCGCGGATTTTAAACCATCGTGGAACAGATTTTCTGCTTGAAGATTACGTTCGTGCCTGCAAACCAAAAAAGGATTAATTCTCTATCAAAGAGCTAAAATTCCCCAGTTTCAAGCAATGGCAGCGAAAACCGAATAAAAAACGCAATTGCAATTTTTGCAAATTAAATTTACAGAACTTGAAAATTTGTCACCTTTTCAAATTACGAAGAAAACACCCGTAATTAATCACAAAACATAAAATTGTAACTAGATGAAAAATGTAGAATTTTTGGCGAAGTTTCTGGAATTTTTTTTATTTTCCGATGCATGAATGCTTTCAAATAATAACAAAAGTAAATCCTGAAAAAAATTGCAGTTTTAACCATTGATTTGTTAATAATTAAAACCGAAAAAAATTGCTCTTAGTGCCTTTGGTGCTTCCACGCTCTTCAGTTTCAATGACTGAGCTTTTGCTAATTGCATAAAATTGTTAAAAATATCGAACATGTGAATCATGTAAAAAACAAATACAAATCAAAAAGAAGTTAAGCAACTAAAGGGTAAAAACAGGTAGATATTTTCCAAGCCGGAGGAAATAAAAAAATGTAGAAATTGATTTGAAGACGTCAAATAAAATAATGCATGGAAATCGGGCTTCCACAAAACAATTCTAGATAATAATTGCTGAGTGATCGGGCATATTACCAGTTCAAAATCAATTTTAGAAACCGGTAACTTCGTGTTGGGAATAGCGAGTAATTCGAAATAAAACAGACAGCTTCAAACTTCAGAATCAGAAATGCGATTTAGCAAATTCAGAGTTACGACCAGTGTTCCCATACAAGCAAAATAGGTTTACTGAGTAAAGAAATCGCCCTTTTTAGAACAATCAGTACGGAAATTCTTAAACTAATTCAGTGGTGGCGTGTGGTTTAATACTTTGGGGGTGCACAATCTTAGAAAATAATCAAAAATCGAACTAACCAGGTCCCACTTCGTGAAAATGAAAGGGTTTTTTATAAGAAAATGAAAATTCCGTCATAAGTACAGCGAACTACTGGCCGTGCACGAACTAAATGTACACAATGGTCAGCTGGAAACTTCGAGATTTTTTTTTCACCGCAAGACTCACTTTGATATTATAATTTTAAAATGATTTCCCGAATGAAAAAACTACTGAGTAAAGAAATCACCCTTTTTAGAACAATCAGTACGCAAATGCTTAAACTAGTTCAGGGGCGATGCGTGGTTTAATATTTAGGGGGTGCACAATCTTAGAAAACAATAAAAAATCGAACTAACCAGGTCCCACTTCGTGAAAATGAAGGGGTTTTTATAAGAAAATGAAAATTTCGCTATAAGTACAGTGAACTACTGACCGTGCACGTACTAAATGTACACAATGGCCAACTGGAAACTTAGAGATTTTATTTCACCGCAAGACTCACTTTGATGTTATAATTGAAATTATTTTCCGAATGACAAAGCTACTGAGTGAAAAAATCACTCTTTTTAGAACAATCAGTACGCAAATGCTTAAACTAATTCAGTGGCGGCGCGTTGTTTAATATTTTGGGGGTGCACAACCTTAGAAAACATCCAACAATCACACAAACCAGGTCCCACTTCGTGAAAAGTAAAGGATTTTTATAAGAAAATTAAAATTCCGCCATAAGTACAGTGAACTAGTGGACGTGCACGTACTAAATGCATACAATGGCCAGCCGGAAACTTCGAGTTTCTCTTTCACCGAAAAACTCGCTTTGATTCTATTTACCACCGATAGTTTTCCCGTCTAATGCCACACTCTCACTAAGTTATTATTTTCCAGGCTGTGAACTCCACTGCTCGTACCTACTCATCACAGGCCGCCCTAAACGAAGTGGTGGTTGTATCAGCAGTGCGCACCCCAATAGGGTCATTTTTGGGGTCTCTGGCGCCCCTCAGCGCCACTCGTTTAGGCGCGGTCGCGGTTCAAGGCGCCATCGAACGCGCCGGAATCCCCAAAGAAGAAGTCAAGGAAGTTTTTTTGGGGAATGTTTGCCAGGGGGGTGTGGGACAAGCTCCTGCTCGTCAGGCGACACTTTTTGCTGGTTTGCCCACCTCAACCATTTGCACCACCATTAATAAGGTCTGTTTTACTGAGGTTCTTCAAACCTTCTCGCAAAACGGTCTTTACTCGACTTAACCAGAGGAAAGCAGATTTTTACCAAATATAACATTAAAAAAATGTTTCAGGTTTGTGCCTCGGGAATGAAATCAATCATGCTGGGAGCTCAAGCTCTGCAAACGGGATCGCAAGAAGTTGTTCTAGCAGGAGGCATGGAGTCGATGTCCAACGTCCCGTACTACATGAAGCGGGGCCAAACTCCATATGGAGGCGTTCAGCTAGTGGATGGCGTGGTTTTGGACGGTCTGATCGACGTGTACAACAAAGTGCACATGGGAAATTGTGCAGAGAACACGGCAAAGAAGCTGGGAATAACGCGACAGCAACAGGACGAGTTCGGCATCAGCTCCTACAAGAGGAGCGCCCAAGCTTGGCAGAATCGGGTCTTCGACTCCGAACTGGTCCCGGTCAGTGTGCCGCAAAAGAAGGGACAGCAGGACACGGTAGTCAGCGAAGACGAAGAATACAAGCGAGTGAATTTCGAAAAGTTCGGCAAACTTGCCACGATTTTCCAGCGGGAAAATGGCACGGTAACAGCGGCGAATGCCTCCACTTTGAATGACGGGGCTGCGGCGCTGATCTTAACTACAAGAGCGGCCGCTGAGCGACTCAATCTCAAGCCTCTGGCGAGGATTGTGGGGTTTGCGGATGGGGCTTGCGACCCCATAGATTTCCCCATCGCACCCGCCACCGCTATTCCGAAACTTTTGCAGCAAACGGGAGTGAACAAGAACGACGTGGCTCTGTGGGAGGTCAACGAAGCCTTCAGTGTGGTGGTGCTGGCCAATCAGCAGCTGCTGGAAATCGATCCAGGCAAAGTCAATGTGCATGGAGGGGCTGTTAGTCTTGGTCACCCCATTGGGATGTCGGGGGCTCGAATCGTGGTGCATTTGGTGCATGCGTTAAAGCCGGGAGAAAAAGGCGTGGCGTCGATTTGCAACGGCGGAGGTGGCGCTTCTTCTGTCATGGTGGAGCGATTGTAAGTTGGGAGTTTGTCCGGTTTCTGTGGATTTTTTATGCGTTCATGTTCGAGTAGTTGTTAAGATAAGCCTTTTTTACTTGTTTATTATGCCCAGGTTGTTTTTTTTAATATATCGAGGATCTAGTTGGTTTTTTGTGTTTTTTCTTGCAATTACGGGGTTTTCTTGCGATTATTGCCTAATAGGGAGAGTCATAGGAAATGAAATTAACTGCTCCCGGGGTTTACTTGATTGTGTTCGAACCAAGAGTTAGTTTCGTGTTCGTGGTTTTGTGGCGAAAGCGATGCTAAGTTTGCTCATTAAAATCGGAGTTTCTCGATGCCAATAGAACAAACAAACCGAATGGATGAGGAGTTTTAAAATCCACAGTTTCATTGTTTTACTAATTTTGTTTTTCGTTGATTTATCCACAGATGCGGCGAAATTCACTCAACATGACCACTGACTACACGTTTGTAGCTGTTCATAAAACAGATGATTCTAATGCGAGCGCGAACAGAACGAACCCAAACGAACAACGCGAAATTTTCGTTGAAATAAAGTAACTAAAACCTTAGGACTTAAAATTCCTTTTTCTGGTTTTTTTGAGGACACTTTTGGAACACAGTGGTTAGTTTTGGTGAGAAAAGTTGCATTTTTCGTTAATTTGCCAAAAACACCGTTTAAGAGAAGTGAATTGGCAAAATTGACTCAATTGGACCACTGGAAATTCGTACTCAGATTTAACTCAGATCGACCTAAAGCTACAGTCTTTACTGCTGCCCTCGGAATGAATAAACACATTTTTCCATTTTCAACGTTTTCTTGTAAAATTCGCAACTTCCAATCAGGCGCACACAGAAACTTTGAGTTTCTACCATTTATGAAAAACACCCTCACAGGCCAACTGTTCAATTTTTTTTCGAATTACGCCATTCGATCCTGGGTTTTGCGCTGAAAAAACAAAACTGCAAACATCTTTAAAAAAATCTTAACTGCTTATCTGGAACATTCGGCCCCTTGAAACTCTCACAGTCTATAGAAGGCTCTGGGGTCTTAAAGCCTTGAAATTGACACTGAAATCGTACTGAATCCTAATATTTTGCGCCATTTCAAAAAATAATGCTGAAACTTGGCTTGTTTATTCTGACCAACTTTAGAAGATTTCAAATCAAAGAAAGGAGATTTACAGTACGATCCGGGTCACTTTTATTACTTGGCGGAGATGGACGGTGCTTCAAATACGAGTACGAATAGAACGAACCATAATGAACAAACCGAATTGAACAAGAGTTTCAAAATCTGCCGTTTTAAAGCTAGTTTAATAATTTTGCTGATCGTTTTTCGGTGTATTCTTGCAACACTGACCAAAATACGTTTTTCATTGATTCATCCACAGCCAGATTTTGCTATGCTATTATGTTTCGCCAGGTTCAATACGAGCGCGAATAGAACGAACGCAAACGAACAACACGAATTTTTCGTTGAAATAGAGTAATTTTGACTTTATTAGTTTGCTAATATGTTTTTATGTTTTCGGCTTGTTCAATACGCTTGCAACCCAAACGATCAATCCAATTGATCTCGTTATAATCTGTGGTTGAATGATTTGTGTTTTTATGTAGTTCTGTATTTGTTGCTTTACTTTCTTGTATTGTGTTTTGATAAAATTTAGTTTTGCCGTGGGTTCTTAAGAGTTTTTCGTTTCTTGGAGGTTAAATGGGCCGGATAATTAGAGTATTAAACCAACTTTTTATACGCGTATAATTCAGTATTTCGTAACATTTTATGAAGAGAGGTTTTCAAAAAATCGGTTTGCACGAAGGCTCTTGTGAACTGTTTGCCCTTTGAAAAAAAAACGACAGATTGTGCAAAATAAAATGCATGAAGAATAACATAAAATAATTTTTGAAAAAATATCTTTGCGTCTTTATGGTTGAAGCATCCTGTTGTGTTCTCTATTTTTGGCATTTTTTAACGTATTTTTCTCTTTATTTTCTTAAAAAATAGTTACTATTTCCTGTTTACGTTATTGTATTCCCTCTAATTTAAGTGCCCAACGTCTTCATTTTTCTCTTACTTTCTTAGTCCTTTTTGGAAGAATCCAATAATTTGCCTTTTTCCTCACTCGGCTGCCTCGAATACTAATAAAATCTGTTAATAATGAAAATTATAAATGATTCCAAGTTGAAACAATGGTTTTTCTTATTTTTTTCTAATGTATAATTCTCCTTACTTAATGTTCCTTTCCTCCCTAATATGGTGGGTTTTTGCATCAGCCTATTGTATGAAAAGTTCTTTATTATTTTTATTTATTTGCTATTACCTATAAGAGTAAAATACATTCATCATGTAAGTATTCCTGACTGTATTTCCAATTTTAATATGCGTAGCAATAACTGCCTACACGAACAAACTGATGATGTTGAAAAAACACCGAAAGGTTTTTAAGAAAATTGACTAAATTGTGATATTATAAAAAATAACTAAAAAAAAATAACCCAGGAACATTGTTTATATTAAAATCAAAATACATTGAAACTGGTTAAGGTCCAACCACATATTTAATATATGCAAATCATTGTTACATGAAATTAATTATTGATTTGCTTCCTTTCCTTCGGAGAGATGCAATGTGTATCTATAAGTTTTAACTGGATTCTCACTTATCAATTATAGTGGATTTTCTAATTATTTAATCAATTAATTAATTTTATTAAACATTCTTAAAACACTTCGTTCCGCTCATAGCTGAAACTGGTGTTCAGCTCCTTATTTTTTATGTTTTATAATAAAATGTTCTTCCTTATTAATGAAAAATAGGGACTGTAAATTACAAGAAACATGAAGAAGATACTAAATTTAAATCATTAAATTCACTTTTATAAAATACTATTTTTGGGTGAATGAGTAAGAAAAATTTGGAGACGGAATTGGGAAACGTCCCAGTTAAAAGTGGCCACTTTTTAAGCACTAGCGCAATAAACTGTGAATTTTGAAATCCTAATCTGCTTGAGTTTAATCTGGTCCATTAATCTTCAACATTTTCCATCAGACTTGATCAGAGTTGGGCGAACAAGCGACCCAAACTGACTCTTTACACCAGAGATCCGTGTCCTTTGTGCGACGACCTGAAAGCCGAACTCGTTCCATATTTAGAGCTGGTGGACATCCAAACTGTAGATATCTCCAAGAAGGAGAATCTGCGCTGGTTACGTCTCTATCGCTACGAGATTCCAGTGCTGTTCTTTAATGGGGAATTTCTGTGCAAACACCGACTGAATGAGGAATTATTGAGGCAGAAATTGACTGCACTCAAATCTAATTATCAATAGGTAGTGAATAAATTGAACATTTAAAACACTATTGATTAGTCGTTCACTTTTCCTATCCAAATTTGGTGTTAAAATGGGAAAAAATTGATTGCGTTGCCCAATTCAACAACGTAGACACACTAGTTTGTCTCTCGGGTGTAGTACGCGCAGTAAGAGCAATTTATACTACTCCCCTCGTATATGAAATGTAGTCGACCAGGTGAACAACTGAGATAATTGGCAAGGAATACAGGTTAAAATATGGAATGGTCTCCTTTGCTCCTGTAAACTGCTGAGTGCCACTTTGGTTGAACCACGTGGACTTATTTCCGCCACAAATCTTCTGGTGGCTTCAACAGCAGCAGCAGCGCCACCACTCTCTCCTGCACCCTAAATCTACTCTCCATCCAAAAGCAGACGAATTCCAGAATCAGAGCCCCCAAACCGCACCCGTATCCCACGCCAGGAACCACGTAAAACTCCTTGAAGTTTTTGAAGGAAATCGCATTTCCTTCGTCCGGCTGCTGTTTGCGCACACGAGAGTGTTTCCTGTTTTCCTCCACAATATCGGCCAGCCATTTGTTGGTGAGACCCTTTTCGAACATCTCATTGGTCCAGAATTTTAGGGAGTTTCTCAGGGGCGATTTTTTGCTGATGTAGAAAGTCATCAGCCACGTGAAAGGTTGTTGAGCTACAAAAGTGTCGAAGAGCTCGGATTCACTGGGGTGGACCAAGCTGAGGCTTTTCAATGTTACTGCGGCGTAGTAACCGTTTTCTTTGAATATTACCTGAAAATGACCTTAATTTTAGCGGCTTGAGTGAAGAGGATTTTCATGATTCAATTGGCAACTAAGAATAGTAAGTTTTCAGCAGACAATTTTTTGAACTGAGCATATTTTCGAGTTCAACATTCGGTTTTAGAATGAAACGTGCCGAATTTCGAAAATGTAACTATCCCATTTGAAACTTGATGAATTTACAGGTAAGAGTTAAGTGTTTGACATTTTTTTTCAAAAGCTATTAATAATTTCAAGCAAAACGTTTCATCTCTAAATAAGCCAATGTTTTATCCAGAAATGTGCCGAAAATGTAAAATTTTGACACATCTTAGCATTAAATGTCAGTCAAATTTGACGTCTTTATAGAATATTTGAAACACACAGCCTCACCTCATTAAAGTTCAGAATTTTGAATTTATCAGGTATTACTCGATTGGTTGGAACTGAGATTTTTTTTTTCGTAGTTGGCAACAATAAGTAGGCTGTGCAAAGTGTGCAATTTTAACATTTTCAAGACGGCACAGAGGGCCAAGTTTTGTGATTGTCGCTATACAACTTTGTTCAAACTTGATATATGAATAGAAAAATGGGAAAAATGTGCAACTTATTTGTGAATATGTCTGTAGCTTTTAGTGCTGTAGTCAATTTTTGACAGGTATTTTCCAAAGGTGTCAAATTGCGACAAATTTTCTCATCGAGTACGTTTCAATTTAGATTTTTTTATGATAATTTATCAATTAAAAGATAAATTTTTGACAGTTCCTTTGCAAAGATGTCACATTTTGACTGCGAAACAAATTTTCCGTAAGGATTATGAACTCAAGTGAGAAATTTTGCAGATGTCACGACCACAGTGTTGTCACCAAGTCGCTGTATGATTAGATTATTTCAAGAAAATTCGTCGCGTCTGACAAATTATTTCTAAATAAAAAATAATAATTAATTAAAATTAAATGATTAATAAAAAAAGTCAAATTTTCAGACATGACGGCATCAAACCCTATTCAAATTTGTCACAATAATCAGAAATTGCAGTCGCACTTTTTATTAATTTCCGCACATTTTCGAACTTCAAATTCTGACATATTTTGTAAACGAAAACTGATGGCTTGAAACATTAATTCGAAACTGGAAAACTGATCACTTATTTATTTTTAACTGATGTAATTAGTATCAATTAATGAATTTTTAAGAAAAGTTCAAAATTTGTAAATCTGGTTTATTAATAATATTTCTTCAAGTGACACTTTTTGATAGTTCAAAAAGTCAAAAACTTGTCAAATTTTGCTAATTAGTTGTCGATGAATGATTAAGTGGACTGTATTTTTGTATTACTTTCTTCTTCGTCCGCGTCCCTATCTGAGATGGCACTCCCAACACCGAGTAACTGTGAGTCAGATTTTGACAGTTTCTGCCAAAAAACGGTTGACTTTGGCGAAATTTGACATATGCCAAAGTCTTATAGGTAAAATAGTCGTAAAAATCATGTTTCAGTTTACAATTTTTGTCAAAACCAGCACGGTTTCAGCTAATTTCAGACAACAAAATTTCAGTTTATGAAAAAAAGTCCAAACCTTCAGAAATCACCAACCACACTTTTGTGAATAACAAAGCTAGCGACTTTCACAATTAGTAATGACGCATTTCCGTTTTTTGATGTCAAAAATGCCAAACTTTGACACGTCTAACAGCCTAATATGGCAATGACATTTGCCTACTCTTTGACATTTTTGGAAAATTTGTTAAGGGAAAAGTGTCAAATGGGTCAGTTTTTGGCATATATTTTCCAATTCTGAGAGCAAAACCAATGAAAACTAGCTTGATCGACTTACATGATGCAAATTCTCCCACTCGGTCCAATTGGTCTTAATCAAAAGTTCCTCCAAACCATCCCGCAACATTCGCCTCTTTCCCACCTCAGTTACTCCTAGTAACGAGTCCATGTACGCTGAGTACAAGTAGTGAATATCCGGTCGAATCATAATTGAGTAAAGTTTTTTTATTGTGGCTTTTTCAAAGTGACTGGCCGTTAAGATGCTGCTGATTCTTCCGGTGTAGACGGTGCAGATTATCAGGTTTGCCAGCAAGTAGCTGACCATGAATACCTTCAAAGAAGTGAACCTACGAGTAGTCAACCCAGTTCCTAAGTTGAGGCGAAGAATGTCCAACAGAGACTTATGCAAGCCGATATTATTTCCCAGCGAGAAGTTGGTGAAGTAGTAGAAGAAGCAAGCGGCTAAGAATGTAGCATACCAGCAACGCCAAACTGTACTTTGAAACACTGTGATGTACATTTTGCGTACTTCGACTTTGAATTTTTTAATCGCGAAAATATAGCTGTCTTTGTACAGTACAGGGCCGTAATCCACTTTCAGAGAATTGATGAATAAAGGGCCGGTAGCTACGTCGTAGCTGTTGTTCTCCAAATGGGCCAAAATTGCTTGAAGAGAACCGCTATTGAAGAATTCTGACACTCCAGCAGTATCTGCAACAGCTTCGTCTAATTAGAGTTCTTAGCTCCATTAATTTGGTAAAAAAAATACAAAAAATACAAAACAAGTAAGTGAAAAATGCAAACATTAAGATCCTAAGTAATTGCAACTTTTGACTACCTACACAGAAAGAAGAAGCAGGTCGAAAAAAGAGCTACAAAGTAAATAAAAATGCATCAAAATCAGTGAAAAGAAGAGGGGAGAACAGAAGAGAATTTCTTTTGAATAAAAGAGTCAAATCTTGCAACGGTCATAGATTATAAACATGTTTGCATGACAAAATGCGAGAAAAAGATTCCTATTCTCATTCTTTCTGCAATTTTGATACCTAAGCCGAACTTTCGCTCCAAAAATGTCAAATTTTGACAGATATTAAGATCAAAGCATCTGTCAAAAATTGGTGTGTAGAAAGATTAATAATTATAAAAAATGACAAAATTGTTAACAAATTTCTAAATTTTCAAGAATTATTTTTGTTTCTTGATTTCTAAATTTCTCAAATTTTGACACTTCTTATCATGCAATGGGTTCATGTGCTGCGAAGAAGCTGAAGTAGCTTTAATTTGATTTATTTTTAATTTTTGCATTTAAATTATGTTTTTAGAGCAAAAGATTGAACTTTTTCAAATCTGTCTGCTAACAGACATTTTTTGATTAATGTCAAATTCGAACAGACTCTTGTTGACAGGTTTGAATAAAAAACTGTCAACTTTTGACATATATTTTCGTCTAATATCTTTTCAATTTATCACATGAACTGGCGTCAAACGAGTTTGACAGATGCTAGAATCTAATACTTGTCAAACTTCGCACATTTTATAAGATTTTCTTCGCTAAGTGTTAGAAAGGAGGGCGCTTTTGGCTAAAGATCTATTTTTTGGGGGAATATGCATAAGAATTTCTCAATTTTTAGGAGTGATTCTTTTCTGTCGCTTTATTCTAACAAATGTCAATTTTTGACACTTCCTATCTTCTGATTAGGGTTGATAAGAAGATTTTTTCATTTAAAATTTTCACAATGAAATCAATTTTCTCTCTGACATGTTTCGCTTACTGTCAAAGTTAGACAGATGCCAGTTGTGACTTGTGCGTAAAAACTGTCAAATTCTGAAACATTTTCAGGTAATACCTTTCAAGTTTGTCACATGAATCGGAGACATATGAGATAGGTGCCAGAGTCCAATACTTGCACAACTTTGCACATTTTGTGCATGTGTATAAAGTATATATAATATTGTAACGGAAATGGCCTGGGGTACTCACGTTTGGAATGGGGGGATTGAAATACCATGAATTTCGATCCCCCCATTCCAAACGTGAGTACCCTAGGCCATTTCCGTTACACTACCCCCCTTCTAAACCCTGATCGCCCCAATTAGGTAACTCCTGGATCATCGTTATATCTGGCCAAACGGTGAATGTGGACAACTTTAAATTTTACCTGAGGGCTCTTCTGGATCCGCGATGTGACATCGTTGAGTCTGGTGATTATCGCATAGGGTCCCTCCCAGGAGTTCTGAAGCTTTGGACAACGGCCTTTTGTCCGTCGGGGATTGAAAAACCAAACTCGTTCACCTTCGCTAAATCCGACTTGATTCGGTCTGGCGTCATA